AACCCAGGCTGAAAACCCCAACCAGCCCACCAGCGCCTTGGCTCCCTGGGGGGCCGGAGACTTGCCTGGGAGCTGACCAGAGTCCCAAGCTCCCTCCCTGGGCCCCTCCGGCTAGGGGCTGCCCCAGGCTCTCGCTGCCTGCTGAGCACTTTCCTCACCTGGGAAATGGAGAAGGAGTCTCCTCCTCACCCCTAAGGGTGCAGGACAAACAGTAGGTGCCTCATACATGTTAAGTCTGAGCTGCTCAGGGTGAGGTCAAGCCACCCAGAGAGGGAACAGCAAGTCGGTGAGCCCAGGCCCACTCCAGCAGTGGAGGCGGGAAGCAGAAGCAGAGGCCACGCTGCTGGACTGCAGGGAACTCAGGGCAGTTCCTCCTGGGGGGGGGGCCCCCCCCGCAGGCCTGGAACTGGCGGCTCCCCACTATTCTTATTCAGGCTGCTGGACTCCGCCCCCCCAGGCCAGGCCCTCTACAATGGAAGGTCCCTGTGTGTTCAAGGGATAATCAAACTTCCCATCCCGGCAATCTCTGGGCTAGTCAGAGATTGGCAAGGTAACCTGGGATGGCAGGGGGCCGCGAGCACGCACCTGCGGCCTGTTGCCGGCCCCTGGACAGGCCCCTGCGCCGTCCTCCCTCCTCCCTGCCCACTACACCTCCCGCCCCACCTGGAAGGTCTTTTCTCTGGTGAAAATTCTGTCCCCCTTCCCAGGCCTGTCTCACCCTGTGCCTCCTCAGCCCCAGGATGAAGTTGCCGGTCTGGGGAACTCTTCCCAGCCACTGTGGGGGTTCCGGCTTCTGGGTCATGTCTGCTGATGGACCAGGGACTCAGGGCTGGCTCAGGTGGAGAAAGACAAGAAATTGCCCTCAGGCAGGGCTGAGAGGCCCAGAGAGGAAGAGATCACCTGGCAGGGCCTCCAAACAGATGGGGGGGTGCGGGGGTCCCCAGGGAGGGAGGGGTTCCAGCAGCAGCCCTGGCTCACCCCCTGCGGCTGGCTGGTTCTGCTGCCCAAGAGAGCGCCTCTGAGCAGAGGGCAGAGGGGCAGCAGTGGCCGTCCGGCCGCATCCTCACTGGCCCTGGCCGGGGTGCCTCTGGACACTTCCTGGGCCCTGGGCACAGGACCCATCACCTACTCATGGGATGGGGCGGGCCGGGCTCTTTCTGGGGACCCAGCAGGGCTCCTGCACAGAGGGAATGGCAGGGCAGAGAGGAGGCAGGGTGGGTCGCCTCATTTGCATGCAGGGGCCACCGAGGCGAGAGCTGCCACGCCGCTGCCGCCAAACAGATTCGAGCAGAAGCTCCGTTTTCCTTCTGTTCTCGTCTCTCTCTCAAGGTCAGAGCCCGAGCAGGGACGGGAACAAAGGGAGCTCGTCCCCCATTCAACCTCCCTGTGCCCGCTGGCTGCTCTGGGGGGGGCCCAGGAGAGGGGAGAAGGGAGCTCCGGAGGCCTGGCCTGGGGCGAGGGGTGTGGGGTGTGGGTATAGCTGCCTAGATGCTCTTGGGGACCCCTACCCAGTGGGGGCCACGAGGAGAGCCCCTCCCTGGGCTCGTTGCGTTCCAGCGTCCAGGCGCAGCCAGCAGGAGTCACTAGGGACGGGGTAACTCTGACATCAAGTGGAGCCCAGGGCGGGGGAAGTCAGGCTCACTGTGGGGATGGAAGAGGTCAGGTTTGGGCTCAAGGGTCAGCTGGGGTCAGGGATTATCCAGGGTTGGCTGTCAGTCAGCCCCAGGCCTGGACAGGGTCTTTAATGGGAGTCTAGACTTGGCTGCATCTCGCCCAGCCAGGCCCAGCCCTGACTCCCAGACCCTGTGCCCGAGTGTGGCCTGGACACTGCCGACCACCCACTGGCCCTGACCCAGCACCCGCCGCCCCACAGGGCGAGTCCCTAGGGCTCAGGAGCAGCATCTGGCACCCCTCTGTTTTCAAAGGCCCCGGGGCTGTGGAGGAAGCTAAAAATACGTGGAGAAATTTCTCATTACAGAATAAATTGGACCAAACCTGCCGTCTGGTCTGGCTCCAGCAGTTTTCAGAAGCTCCAGCTGGGCTAGGCTGGGGCAGGAGCAGAGGACGGGTCAGCAGCGAGGGTGGAGGCCTTGGCCCACCGGGGCTCCGACCCGGCTCCCATGTGGGCAGGCAGGGCCTTGTCAGCCCGGGCAGCAGCAGGGGGACGGGGCAGCCAAGGGGAAACTGCCCTGGGGCACTGCCCAGTGGCCGCCACTGAAAGAAAATGTACCCCTTTCGCTTGCTCCCAAATTAAAATTGCCTCCCCCGTGTCTGGGGTCCAGCCAGGCCCTGGAAATCTCAGGGTCTCAGTCCAACCTAGGCCTTTGTGACGCCCTCAGCTGGCGAGACTGAAAGGCATGTCCCAGCTTTTCCGCCTCGTCCCCTCCCTCTTCCCCTCTGCCTCCCCCCTCTCCTCCTCCCCCTCCTCCCTGCGACTTTGGTCCCCCCCAGGTCTACACTCACCCAGTCTCAGTGCCTGGACAGACTCCACCTTCCATGGCAATCCCCCGCCAGCCTGCTGGACAGGCCTCTACTGCCCAGTGTTGCCACGGTGATGGACACAGTCCAGACCGGTGCTGTCCACACCGGTGCGGTTCCGGGGCACTGAGATGCGGCACATGCAACTGAAGAACAGGGGTCGAAGTTTCTTACTTTAATGTGAATGTGAGTGGCGCGTGTGGCCGCCACCTGGGCGCTCTCTCCGGGCACGTGTGAGCCCCACCAAGGCACACACCTGGACCACCGTGCACTGCCAGGACCAGGACTTCAGGAGAGCCCTGAGGAGGGCGGCGGCCACTCAGCCTCCCAGTGAGGGCAAGGGGGAGCTCTGGAGCTGAGCCCCAAGCAGGAGGGGGCACGGCAGGCCCCTGGGCTGCAGACCCCAGGTGCAGTGGCCCTGCTGGTGCCGGTGGCCCGTGAGCGCCCCGTGACCACCCCCACAAGCCATTCTGAGTCAGCTGAAGTGGCTCCCGCCTCCCACGTGGAAGGCGAGCCGGGGGGCAGGACCTATGGCGACCAGGAGCTAAGCCTCCAGCCTGCACCCTGGTCAAGGGCCATGGGGGACAAAGATAGTGGGTCTGCACAGCCCATCGGCCATGGGCTCGGGGCCTGCTGTGGGCATTTGCGTGTCTTGTGTCCTCCCTTATGTGTGACTGTTATCTGCGCGTGTCCTCGCGGCCGCCATTTGTGCCTTGTGTCTACTTGTGAATATGCGAGGTCCAAGAAGGTGCTGGAAGCCCCCTCCTGCGCTGGCTGCGGCACACATGGACACATGTGGGCCCTGGAGCCAACCGGGCCACGGGCCTTTCATCTTGCACTGACAGGCCCCTCTCCCAGCTTTTAGCCGCCAAGAACTTCCTGCTAATCGCGCATTAACCTTGGCGGGGGCTGCCAATTACTCGGCACTAATGCCGCGGCTTCGGGCTCGCTGGCAGGCACAGGGGCCGGAAAGCGGGCGGGGCGCCCGGCGGGGGCAGGCAGGAGACTGTGGGCTGGGGGGGGACACACCGCGTCCCTGGCTCCGGATGGCAGAACGCGGGGTCTCTCCTGACCTCATTAGAGTAATTAATGTGCCTTTTGAAGCTGGAGAAATCGCTCAGAGCTGTGGGAAAGGGGCGCAGATCACGGGCGAGGAGGGGGGCAGGATGGTGTCTGCGAGCCTGTTAAAAATGTATCCCAGTGGGTCAGACTCAGATGGAGCTGGAGACGGACTCACAGAAACAGGGAGACGAGTGAAAGGCAGTGCGGATGGAGACACGGACACGGACAGGCAGGGATTCAGAGCAGGAGGAAGATGCAGAGACAGGTGAGTGGGGGGCAGACAGGGAGAGGACAGCCAGAGGGAGGGGTGTGACATCTCGTTGCCCGAGGGACGACGGTCAGGGAGGGCTTCCTGGAGGAGGCAGCTGAACGCTGCAGAAGAGGGCGTGTCCACAGTGCATGGGAAGGGAGCAGACACCCAAGCCGTCCTCCGGAGGAAAGCAGGACCCCTGCTGGAAACTGGGATGACCAGCTGTGCTGGGGCGTCCAGCCCGCATTCCCAGGGGCGCAGGGACCCAGACTAGGCTGGGCAGGGACAGTTGGAAGGGCTTCAGGATGGATGGTCCCAGGGATCAACTGGGTCCCCCAGGGGCATGAGGCACTGCCCAGCACTAAGTGGATAGGGGACCCGGTGGGGGAGTCAGCCGTAGGGGGCGCTGAGGCAGGTGGAGCCGGGGAAGAGCGCCCAGGCAGACCCAGTTCCCTCCTGCGCCCAGGGGGCTGGCGGGCAGGCTTCCAGCCCACCCCCCGCGCCCGCGGGGAGGGTGCTGGTGTTGCACGGCTGCCCCCTAGTGGCAGAGCCTCCGCACAGGACTGCCGGCGCCGGCAATGGCTGAGGAAGAGCGCAGCAGACCAGACTTGGGAGTGAGTCCACAGAGCTGGTGTGCCCAAATACAGGGCGCAAAGGGAAAGCAAGCCCCACGGAGAACCCATCGAGCCTCTAATCATAAATGGGGACTGAGGCCTGAGTGAGACTCAGGTGCCCAGAATGGGGGCTCAACGCTAGGATATGGGTTCAAGGGCTCTGTCTGGGTGGGGCTTGGGGTCCTGGAAGGAGGGCCCAGCTACCCAGCTTATGGCTCAAGTTCATCAAGGATTCCACAAGGGGCTGATGGTGGAGCTCAGCAGGTCTCTGAGCTGTAAGACGCTCCAGTGCCTATAAAATACAGCCTCGGCGTTCCCCCGGAAATGCCCCCAAACGTGCCGATGATGAGACCCTCGAGGGCCCCGGGCTGCAGGTGGCAGAGAGGAGCCCTTGGTTAGGGACAACTGGGTGGGGTTCTCTGAGATCCAGAGTAGAGGCCCACAAGGCCTTGCTCCAGGCAGTTCCCCATTCTGCCGATGCTCATCTGACCGGGGCACCTGAGCGTGAGGCCGAAGAGCCCGACTGGCAGACTGGAGTGGGGAGGCCCAGGTGAGCCCACTGAGCTGCCCGCCCCACCCCGTGAGCCGGGACCAGATGACGTGGAGCCGCCTTTATTATCTCCAGGCCAGGGAAGACCCATTCAGACAGGCCGTGGCCCGCCCACCTCCCAGGCCTCAGCCAAGGCTGCTGTGCTGTGTCCACACAAGGACAGGTAAGCGACAAGCGACACGCGCCACAGTTCTGTCAGGGCTCAGAGCCCTGTGTGGGCGCTATCAGGCCCCTCGGATTCCACACAGCATCCAGGGCAGTCATGTCCAGGTGAGGGCTGAGACGGCTTCAGGCAGGCTGGGTAAGTCCCACAGGCGCTCTCAGGGCTGGCACCGAAGCTAGGAGAATTGGCACTGGCTCTGTCCTCTGCCAGGGCAGCTGCAAATCCCTCCTCCCAGATGTCAGCATCTGGATGGGGAGAGGGATGAGGAGCGTGGAGGGAGGAGTCCTTCCTGTTTAACTCCCAAAGGCTGGGCAGGGCCTCCCTGGTGGCCTAGGGGTTAGTCTCAGCGCTACCACCACGGCCTGAGTTTGAATCCTGGCCAGGGAGTGACCCACAGGGTGCAGCAGACCCCTCCTGTCTCCCCGCTGCCCCTCAGCAGTGGATTCCGATACATCTACCTATTCTGCTCCCTACTCTGTCGCTGGTGAATCCTCTCAACTCCCCCCCGCCCCACGCATCTGGCCTGTACCCCAGGTTCTTCCACGCATAAGTAACTGAAACAAACCTTTAAAACTAAAGTCAATAGGGGTCCTCCCTGGAAGCCCAACGGGTGAAAGCACAGCATGAAGCTATCGCAGCCACTGCAGCACGAGTTCAATCCCTGGTTGGGACTGACCCACAGGGCGCAGCAGACCTCTCCTGACCTCCTCAGCAGTGTGTTCAGTACGGTTGAGCTCCCCACTCTGTCTCTGGTGACTCTTATCAACCCCTGTACCTCTGGTCTGTGCCCCAGTTCTGTATACATAAATAAATCTTTAAAAAAATAAAGTTAAAAAAAAAAGACATTTACACATATTACAAACAAAACCCAAAAGGCTGTGCAGAGAAGGCACAGCTGTCGCCCCCTAATGGCAAACAGGGCTCCAAGGCCCAGGCGGAGGGTGGGCAGGAGCGCTAGCTCCCGAGGAAGGCGTCTCCCAGTCCCGGGATGGAGGAAGCCGCTGGGCTCCCAGACCTCACCAACTCTTCCTTCCACGTCTGAGAAGTGAAAGCCAAGCCCTGGTCCCCGGCCCTGCAACGCTGGGGCTGGACAGGCCGGCACTGTCTGCTCAGGCCCCTCGCTAGCTCCACACCCCGGCTCACCTCAGGTCAGGCCTCCTGAGTTTGGGTCCTGGCCTTTCCCCCTCCCCCAAATACTCTTCATGGGGTCGGGGTTAGTGGGGGCCTTCCCTGCCCTCCCCACCCCAACCCTATAGGTAAGTCTGCATCTTTGACACTGATCTTGTCCTTGGGGTCCTGCCAACTGATGCGCTGTAGCCCCACCCCACCTTAAGGAGATGGGAAAGTGGGTGGTGCAGGAGCTAGCAGGAGAGTCGGCACTGTGAAGCTGGCCGCAGCCACTGAGGCAGGAGTTTGATCCCGGCCAGGGAGCGACCCCGTGGCACAGCTCCTGTCTCCCGCTGCTCCCCTCAGCAGTGGATTTCAGTGGATCTGCCTGTTCTGCTCACACTCTGCCTCTGGTGAATCCTCCCACTCTGCATCTCTTGGTCTACACCCCAGTTCCTGTACGTGTGAATAAGTAAAAATAAATCTTAAAAAAGAAAAATAAATAAACGGGAAACAGGTTAGGACGGTGACGCGCTGCCTGCCTGAGCCCAAACTGCGGCAGGCAGCACACGCTGTGCGCTAAGCAGTGACCTGACGGGTCAGAGGTCCCCCACTCTACTCTCCACTTCAGCCCGACCCCCCTCAGCCCAAGTGCAGGAAGGGTCACACTACCATCTCAGAGTCCGAGTCTCAAACACCGTCTCCTCCTCGCCGCTGTCCATGTCCACGGCGTCCTCGCTGTTGGCCAGGAGGCCATACCTCTTCTGTGGCTTCTTCAACCTGGGAGCAGGCCCAGAGGCTCAGAGGGGTGCTGTCCCTGAACACCCAGCCCAGAGGCCCTGACTCCCCTCTTGCTCCCACCCCGGGATCCCGGTGACCCAGCCAGCAGGCAACTGGCGGCGCCCAAAAGCCCTCCTGTGGACCTTCAGGTCTAACCCCTTCTCGCCCTGATAGTGGCCTCAGAGCTTCTGGCAGTAGCAGAAAGCGCACAGCTCCCTTCGCCCTCCCGGTGGAGGTTCCTAGACTGCAAGTGGGGTGCCGTCAAGAGGCTACAGCCAGACCACGGGTCGTGGCACTGAAGCCCGGCTTCTGGCCAGCACTAGGGTGAGGATGACCGGCCCGCGCACTGCACACCCACAGCATGCCAGGGGCTGAAGAGCTGTTCCCGTGCCCGGACCCGGGCCACCTCCCAAGAGCCAAAGGAGCAAGCCGGGGGTGTTGAGGAGGGAAGGGGAGGAACCTGCCCGGGCCCGGTGTGGCCAGTGTCTGTGCCTCTGTAGGCAACACCCGAGCGATGCGTTAGGCCGAAGGCCCGTCGTGCTCCGGTGCAGCCTCTGCTGCGCCCGGCTGGAGGGTTGACTGGAGGAGGCGCCCGGCTGTCGAGTCGCGGTCCGCTGGCAGGGAGGACCCCGCCCTCCCTCCACAGCCGGGCAGGCAGCACCGAGGGGGACGCCGGTCCGCGGCGGGACGGGGCTCACGGAGCACTGTCCCGGCAGCTGCGGGCCAAACCCCCAGGCGACAGTGCGCGGGGCCAGCCATCTCCGGGCGCATCGCGGGAGCGGCGGGATGAGGGCGGCGGCCCCAGCCGAACCCCAGGCCTTCGCGGCCGCGCCTTGGAAAAGGGTAGCAGCGCCCCCGTGGAGAAACAGCAGGATCACGTGACTGAGACCACCCGACCGACACCACCCGCCACGCCCTCCGCGGGGCGGACCCCGCCCAGCACGTGACGAGCGACGCCCGCGCTGATTGGCCCGCCAGAGCCGCGGCTGGAGCAGACGCACCTAAACGCCCGGATGAGGAAGTAGAGCACGGCCAGGCCGCTGAAGCCCAAGAGCACGTAGAACGAACGCAGCAGCGGGGAGCCCGGCGGCCACAGGTGCGTGCTGTTGTACGGCGCGCCCGGCCGGCTCCCGTTCGTGAGGGCGGCCGGCGGTGAAAGCGTGTCCTGCGCGAGGCTCGGCCGGGACGCGGCCCCCAGCAGCAGCGCCGACAGCAGCAGCGCGCGCGGTCCCATGGCCCGGCGGATGCGGCGGACGCGCCCCGCCCCGGGCGTGGCTGTCACTCTCGGGCGGTGCCAGCCAATGGCCCACGGGGGCGGGGCGCGCGCCCACCTGGCTCCTCCATCGGCTTTAACCCTGGTCCCGCCCGGGCTTCCCACAGTTCCAGGGGCTGAGGGGTGCCCGGCAGCCAGCTCCCACCCTCCTCCCGTCGGAAGGGAGGTCCTTGCGAGGGAAACGGGGCCACCTGGCCGCAAAGAGGTTCCCAGGCTCGCAGGTTCGGGACCTGCGGCCAGCGCCGGCCCTCCACACAGGTCCCTGGGCCTGCCTCCCCACCAGCCTCTGGCTGCCCTGCCTGCCGCCCTACTGTCCTGGGAGGCTCTTTGGGGAACGTGTGGCCTGCGAGCCTGGGGCGCTGTCACCACCCCTGGCCAGCCCCACCCTCCTGGGAGTTAAAAATGACTGGCTCAGGATTCAATCCCAACACTGCTCTGCACCCAAGATCTGGCAGCGGGCTGGGCCTGGGTGGCAGATGAAGGGGTCCAGGTCTCTATGCCCAGACCTCAGCAAAGGCCCTGGGGGAGGAAGACGTCTACCACCTTCTCTCAGGCAGGCCATGCTCCTATGAGTCCGGCCTGAAGGGGGGGGGCAGTGACTTGAGGGCTGGTTTTACTTGGATCCAGCTGACACCCTGAAAGTATCTGAGGTGGCTTTTGCTCATGGATTTCCCCCAACACCCCTCCCCACAGCTGCACCCCAAACCAGACTCAGGTTTCTAGGTGCTTTGCACACACCAGTCCTTTATTCAATTTGGACTTCCACGTCCTGTCACTGTTGCCAGTAAGGACCGGCCGCCTCACGAGTTGCTGCCACCACCCATGCTCCTGGAGGGACTTAAAAGCCCCAACCTTCAGGATGCAGCATCTGCTGGAAAAACAAGGTGGTGTTGGGGTGGGGGTGGGGGGGCTGGGAAGAGCAGGGTCCTGGTGGGGCAAAAGACCAGGAGAGAACCCATGGAAGAGCCAGGTACTGCCAGTGTCAAACACTCCCTGTCACCCACCCCAAAAAGCACTCACAGGAGACGGACTTGAAGGACGGTGGCTGCACCTCTGGCTCTGGCTCCCAGGTGAAGTCCCTCCTGGGACAGTGACCCCAGGTCATCGCTGCTCTTGGATCACCCTTCCTAGTGGGGCTTCCTTCCCTTCAACCTGCCAAAGCAAAGGAGTGTTACCCCAACATCCCGGAGGCTCTGCACCTGGAAGCTGTCCTCCCCACCTCCCTGAAACCATCCACAGATCCTAGGAGGGTCTCAAGCTAGTCATCAGGCCATCCTGGCAGAGGCCCGTCACGGCGGTGAGCCCTGGTGGGCCTGTGCCTTTCCCGATTGGTCAGGCCCCATCCCACCGTAAGCAGCGCCAGCTCCCCACATGGGATGGAGCTGCTTAGAGATGGCGTGGGCTCGGGGAAAAACTCATGGCAGCAACAGACATCAGAGAGCCAGTTAGGAGTGTGACTTAAAGAGGTCTGGAAAAGACTGTCAATTGATGAACAAAAAATCCAAAAGGCATGGTGTTCAGCGGTCTCCAATCCTGCTTACGGACCGAACCTACTCTTGAGGCGCAACTGCCCGTTGGGCCAGGGTCTGACGGTTTTAGTTCTAGCTTGATTCAAAAAATTGGAAAAACAAAAAAGTCAAAGGAACATTCCCCGGGTACATTTTCAAATGAGCTCTTGACAAGAGGAGGGATGCGGACACGAGCAAAAGGAGTTACCTCGGATTACAGGGCTATCTCCACATATGAGCTAGCCAAGGGAGCAGCTCGCGTCTCAGAGGTTTCTGTTGGGCGCACAACACTTCTGTCCTCCGAGGGCTGCAGCTTCCATAGGCTAGCGGAGAACGCTCAGAACTTGTAAAGTAACAGCAGAGCTAGCTACCGAGCCACCGGTCTGGTCACCCAGGGGTGCTGCCTGCGTCTGTCTAGCCAGAGTCTGAGCTACAGTGGAGGGTTCAGGTCAGTGTCAGGTGCCCGCACGTCCACTGTCCCTGCCAGGCTGCCCGCCCCTCGGAGCCCTCTGGCTGCCACTGCCAGACGCCTCCCAGGGCTGTCCTGCGGTCAGCTGCCCGCTCCCGTCCCCCGCCTCGCTCACCTAACCAGGACTGGGGCAGTCGCTGTCAGAGGGCCCACCGGCATCAGCTTACTCTGCCTTCCTCGTCTAGCTCTCCTTGGGCTCAAGCAGGGCTGGCACACCTGCTTCTCACACTGCCCCTCTGCTCAGGCCTGACAGCCGCGAACCCACAGCAGAGGTGTGTTGTGCAATGAAAGGGAAATTGTCAGAGCAAGGTTCATTTCAGACGGTCTTTTAATCGGCTTCGTAAAGCCAAAGAAACTGCGTACAAGAATTCCTTAACCACTTCAAATACAACATCAATGGGGTATGCATATGTCTTCCAGTAAAAAAGGACAATATAAATAAACATTTTCAAGAACCTCACGGACGTCTGTGCGTCTACTGGGGTCCGACAGCGCAGGTGGGCAGCCAGGCCGCCTGCCTCTGCAGCGCCCTGGACACGTCCTACCACGCTACACTCAAGCGGTACACGAGTTGGGAGAAAGCCACAGCCTGCTCAGCTTCCGACAAAGCGGACTGAGAGTGCGTTCAATCTCAAGAGAGGTGAACTGGGGCACCGACTTCAAGGTACCCCACTAAAAAGAAACAAAAAAGGCAACACAACCGAAACCCACACAACCCCCAATGAATGGTTTCTTTAATTCACGGCTCACGGTAGAAAGAAAAAAGTGAAGTCAAAAGTGCTTTTCAAACGTTTTTAAACCCCTAAAAACGGACGGCACTTCCTTAAAAGAAAAGTCAGGTCATGAGGCCATCTGGGGTCAGACGCAGTCAGGCTGTGTTTGACAAGATCAGAACCGAGAGGCTACAAAAGTGGGGTACAAGGAGGTGTGTTCACTACACATTAACGATTCAGCGAAGCTCCCAAAATCTTTAAATATACAGCCATTGGAAGGACGATCTTGAGCAGGAAGGATTTTTACTCGTTGTGTGTAGCTGAGAACAAGAAGCAGGGACAGTGTAAAGGCACTGAAGCACGCAACAAGATGCAGCATTCCACTCCCGGGTCCAGACCTGGGGGCTCGCCCTGCGGCCTCGGAGCAACCAACCCCCCTGGCCGCAGGGCCGGACGGCCGCGCATGCACCTATGCCGCCTGTTGGCTGTCCCTCACTCTCCCTTTCCTCTCTGGTCAGTTTGTCTTTGCCTTTGTTTTGTGGTAGAAACGGCTGCGGGCAAGACCCGAGGGTAATCTCGTTCCTTATGGGCAAGCACAGTGACAAGGTCTGAGCGTCCAGCCTACGTAGCTCACAGAGGGCGCCAAAGATCACCGAGTTCCCACCACAGGCCACGGCAGCATGGTGCCCTCGGAGCGCGACTTACCGTAACTGTCATAGCTGTCTCTGTAGGACCCGCCGGAGCTCCTGTCACCATAGCTGCTACCCTGACTCCGGCTGTAGAAGGACACAGAGGCTAGAGGCCACTGAAGCCTACACTCCCGATGCTGCCTCCAGCCCTGGGCAAGACCACTCTCACCTGCTGTAGTAGTCTCTGGAGCCTCCGTAGCCCCCACTCCTGGACTCAAACCGACTCCCCCCATAGCCTCTGTCCCCTCCGCCTGCAGGAAAGAACAGGAAGAAGTGCCAGCTCACCAGCAGCCAGGGACCCCACCTCACCCGAAGGCCTGGGGCTGAGAGCTGGACTCACCTCTGGAGAACCCACGCCCCCGGCCTCTGCCTCCGCGGAAGAAGCCCCGGCCCCCGGCAGAGCCTCCTCGGTACCCACGGGATCGGTTGTCGGAGGACTTGCCTGCCTGGTCAACTCGGATCTGTCGCCCATCCACAGACTGGAGAGCAGAGGGCGGCAGGGTGAGCCTCCACCTCCCACTCTCAGGGGCAGGGCTCACGCTCTGCAAACCCACCCTCTGCTCCCCAGAGCAGCACCCCTCACCTTCCCATTCATGGCCATCATGGCGTCCTTGGCATCGTCGATGTTCTCAAAGGTGACAAACCCAAACCCCCGAGATCGCTGGGTCTCCCTGTCTTTCACAACCACCACTGTGCCAGGAGAGAGGGCTGCAGTTGGCACCCAGCCCTCCCAGGGCTGCCCCGCCCCTGCCCCGCCCCAGTCTCACCTTCAGAGATCTGTCCATACTTGGAGAACACCTGCTCCAGCGACTGCTCGTTGGTGTCAAAACTCAGCCCCCCCACGAAAAGCTTGCCTTCGTCTGATGCCATGCTGGCCTGTGGCAAGCACAGATGCAATCTCCGCTGAGCGCCTCCAGGAGCTTCGTGCTCACCCCTCCGCCAGTCTCACTTTACACAAACATGAGCTCTTTGGGGTGACACTGGGATATTCCCTACTCCTCGGTCACCCAAACCCACACGGAGGGCTTTACTGAGTGCATTCCTCAGATCTTGGCTCCTCTGCCCCTTTTCTGGGCCCAGGCTCCACCCCCACCCACCTCCCGGGGAAGGTTGCCAGGGGAGGTCTGCAGAGCGCCTCAGGGCGTCCTCGGCAGGGGGAGGCATGTCGTGGGGCTGACCACGCAGGCCTCGCCTCCACGGTCGGGACTGCCTTCAGAAGGGCGCTAACTCCTGAACCTAACCGTGGAGGGCGCAGGGTGCAAAGTGCTTCATCTACTGTCGGGAGTCTGCGGAGGGCAGGGGTACTGGAGACCGGCCCCCACAGGGAACGGCGGTCACGCTGAGGATGGGAGTGTAACGATCGTAGCCACACAGGCCGGGGCGGGCCTGGTGCGCCAGCGTGCGTTTGTGCGCGTGTGTGTGTGCGTGTGTACGGGGCGGAGGGGGCGACACGGGTCCCGGGGGCGGCCTCCGACCCCTCGCGCACGTTACCCGGGCGCCGATCGGAGGGGACCTCGGCCCGCCCCATCA